GTATGGTATGGTATGGTATGTATGTATGGTATGGTATGGTATGTTAGGTAGTATGCTTTGGTATGATATGCTATGGTAGGCTATGGTATGACATGGTATTGTACGGAAGGTATTGTATGTAAGGTGTGGTATGCATTGTTAAGTATGGTAGGTATGGTATTTATCATATAGAATGGTATCGTATCATTAAGGTTAGCCATTTTTCACAAAGGTCTGTGACCAGGATTTAAAAGAATTTCAAAAATCTTCAACTTGCGGAAAAAATGCCTTCTGCCAAGCAAACAAAAAACGACATGTTCATGTTCTTAAAATGTATATATACATTTGATTAATATATGTACCCAAGCAGCACAGGATATCTGTACAGACACACGCGACAGACAACTCTTGCAAAAAACTGGAACCCAGATCTCCTAACGGCATAGGATTGCGTAACAGCGCTTAATGCCATGCAGCTGATCGTTACAGAATTTTTTCAACTTTCTGACAAACTGGGCTTGTCTTTTTTATGGTTTTCAACAACCATGCGACAGTTTTACTTTTTACATTTTAAACAGTATCTAAGACTTAAATTTTCTTTGTTGTTTGTGAGTGTCATGGGTCCTGAAAGGATTCTATGTGACCCAGGCCATGATTCCAGCAAAAGTTTTGGAAATTTTAAGGAAGCAGGCGAACTTTCTTCAATTAGATGAAAGATAAAATCATTAACAGAATCAATGTCAATCATGAGTTGTTTGTATTTGTATTTGTATTTGTTGCTTCTTAGCATCCGAAGGTAGTTTTTAGGACACTGAGAAGCTATGCTTATCGAGTTTTTCCAAAAGACTGGAAGATAATTGGATGGGAGAAAATTGAAAGGATCTCTGCGAAATGGGCAGAATGTCTATGTCAAATCTTTGAAGTAGTAGCAAATGTTGAAGACATGGCAGATTACTCAAAACCACCAATGAAAAAAACCCAGACATTGTCGTTCTTCATGTTGGGACCAACTCGCTGGGAACAAACAAGCCAGCTGATGAAATTGCATCTGAAATCTGTGATCTGGCAGCTGATGTAAGAAACGGAGCAAATGAAGTTGTTGTATCAGATATTATATCTCGAGGTGACGATTCAACGTTAAATACAAAAGCAAAAACTGTAAACGAAAAATTGAAAACCCTGTGCGGAGAAAATAGTTTAGATCTCATCGAGCATCAAAACATCGATACAACTAAGCACCTAAATGGAAGTGCTTTGCACCTCAATAGAATGGGCACAGTCCTTCTTGCCTTATTACCTTATTAAATATCTCAAAGCTCAGTGACGTGATGATGGGACTCATACAGCTAAGTTTATTTGTCCTAATTTAGAAAATCAAAATACCAATGAAATTGCTAGTTCTGATACCGAAGATATTAACCCCCTTGCCAATCTATCAACTATTAGAAACAAAACCAAGAGAGGCCTAATTGTGGCACATCTAAATATAAACTCAATCCGAAACAAAATAGAGGATCTCAAAACCCTGATTGCAAAAAATGTTGACATCCTCGCAGTTTCTGAAACCAAATTAGACGAATCCTTTCCTACTAGTCAGTTTTTAATTGATGGTTTCAAAAAACCCTTCCGTTATGATAGAAATACAAACGGTGGTGGGATTCTGGTTTATATCAGAGAAAAAGTTCCAGCAAATGAAATTAAACTGGTGAACATCGCCAATTCAATTGAATGTGTATTAACTGAAATTAATGTGGGCAAGAGAAAATGGGCATTGATCAGTACCTACCGACCCCTTTCTCAATGTGAAAAAATTTTCTTCGCAGAGATAGGCAAAGTGCTTGACCAACTTACACCTCGATACGAAAACTTTGTCATTATTGGAGATTTAAATTCGGAAGAGAAAAATTATGAAATTAGCAATTCCATGGATATCTATGGATTAAAAAATTTAATAAAAAGTCCCACTTGTTATAAATCTGCTGACAATCCCTCTACCATTGATATGTTTCTAACGAATAAATCCTCTGGTTTTCAAAACACTACGACAATAGAAGTGGGATTGTCTGATTTTCATCTAATGATACTAACAGTGTTAAAGAGTGGTTTTGTAAAAAGAGGTCCAAGGATTGTGACATACCGAGACTCCAGTAAATTTGATCCTATAAAGTTTCGCAGTGACCTTAGAAGCAATCTAACTAAGAGCAGCGAAGCATACTCTGAATATGAAAATTTTAATTCTGTAGTCGAAGAAGTTCTGAATAACCATGTACCTCTAAAACAGAAATATTTACGCGCAAATGATGCACCCTTCATGACGAAAACTTTAAGAAAGTCAATTATGCTCCGTTCACAGTTACGTAACAGATTAAACAGGCATAATACTTCTGAAAACTGGAACGCTTTTAAAAAGCAAAGAAATAGGTGTGTGAAAATTCTGCGACAAGCAAAAACATCATATTATGGTAACCTTGATATAAATTCTGTCACTGACAATAAAAAGTTCTGGAAAACTGTAAAACCACTTTTTACTGACAAGGTACAAACCTCTTCAAATATTACGCTTATCGAAAATGAAAAGTTTATTACGAATGACAGTGAAATAGCTGAGATCCTTAATGAACTTTTTACAAATATCACAAAGACAATTGACATTGCCCCTGGTGAATGCATTCTCAATTCGACAGACCATTTGCTGGATCCTGTTGAAATTGCTGTTGAAAAATATAAACATCATCCCAGCATCCGCAAGATTAAGGATAAGGTAAACCATGGCACATTCTTCGAATTCAAACCAATTACAATGCAGGCAGTCAATGATGAATTATTGAGACTAAATACAAAAAAGCGTCTACAATTGAAAGTATTCCTCCGCGGATACTGAAAGAAAACGAAGACATTTTTGCACCATTACTGACGACAATTTTCAATAATTCATTGCTCCAGAAAACGTTTCCTGAAGATCTTAAATTAGGAGACATAACTCCACTATTCAAAAGTGACAAAACTACAGAAAAACGAAACTATCGACCTATCACAGTTCTATCCGCATTATCAAAGGTCTTTGAACGGCTTCTATATGCTCAGATGGTCGACTTCGCGGATACGTTCCTAGTTCCCTACTTATGTGGTTTTCGGAAAGGTTTCAACACACAGCATGCGCTGTTGAGATTAATGGATATTTGCAAGAATTCCCTAGATAAAAACGGGGTGGTTTGTGCCTTGCTAATGGATCTCTCAAAAGCGTTTGATTGCATAGACCATGAGCTATTAATTGCGAAATTAAATGCCTATGGTTTTTGTAAAGATGCTCAATTATTGATTTATAATTACCTGTCCGGTAGAAGACAAAGGGTAAAATTAAATGGTTCATTCAGCACTTGGCGAGAAACCTTTGCAGGTGTACCACAAGGATCAGTCCTTGGGCCTCTTCTATTTAATTCATACATTAATGATTTTTTCTAATGGTGACTGATACTGCAGTATGTAAGTTTGCTGATGATACTACGATTTTTGGAGCTGACTGTCAATTAGATAAAGTTTTAGAACGGCTAGAAACTGATGCTCTTATTTTATCAAAATGGTTTCCAGAAAACTTTATGAAATTGAATGCAGGGAAATGTCATCTTCTTACTTTTGGAACAAATCAAGATGACTTTAAGATCAAAATCGGCCAGGCCATTGTTGAAGAAAGCTCTGAAGAAAAACTGCTAGGGGTGATAATAGATAAAAATCTTAATTTCAAAAGTCACGTCTCAAATTTATGCAAAAGAGCCAGCCAAAAACTGCATGCTCTTGCTAGAGTTTCGCCATTTATGGGTTCTGATAAACTGCGTTTCCTAATGAACAGCTTCATAAAAGCTCAGTTTAGTTACTGCCCCCTAATTTGGATGTTCCATGACAGATGTCTGAATGCTAAAGTAAATAAAATCCACGAAAGAGCACTCAGAATTGTTTATAAAGACAGTCATGCTGACTACGAAGCATTGCTGACTTTGGATAATGCAGTATCAATTCACCAACGCAATCTACAGTACTTGATGATAGAAATATACAAAACCAAACATAACCTGAACCCTAGTTTCATGGGTGAGATTTTTGAAACAAGAAATGTACATTATGATTTGCGAACTAAAAATAATCTTTGCATTCCAAAAGGCAGGACAACTTCTTATGGTATAGAAACTGTGAGATATTTAGGTCAAAAACTGTGGCAAACACTACCTCAAAGTATAAGAGAGTCCCAATCATTGGCAACATTTAAAAAAGAATTAAGAGCACACCCTATAGAATGCGACTGTAGATTGTGTAAAAAATTTATTGCTGGGTTCGGTTTTATTTAGAACATTATACCTTAAACCTTTTTAATATTGTATCATATATTTTTATTTCATACTAACTCTTTATAGATAGTTGGCCTTAATTAGCTTCTTTATAGCTATCAGCCGTTCATTTAGTACACCAACTTTAAACAAATTATTTATTATATTATTATTATTATTATAGAACATTTTTTTTCCTCATTTCAAATATTATTTCAGCCTACTTGCGTATTCCTTCTAAAAGGGTACTGAATTTTTTGACGTCACTATTCCAAATTTTGGTCATAAATAGCATGGACATACATTTTGAAAGTTTTACCTTAGAACGAAACTCTATTATGGTGAATTTCTTTGCAGCAAATATGAAATCATTGATCATCCTGGTGCTTCTTGCACTTTTTTCAATTGCTTATGGCAAAGTTGTGAAATCAAGGGATGCCCGTTACCACGGAAAGGATCCACGATACTACGGAAAAGATGCCCGCTACTACGGAAAGGATGCCCGCTACTACGGAAAGGATGCCCGCTACTACGGAAAAGATGCCCGCTACTACGGAAAAGATGCCCGCTACTACGGTAAGGATGCCCGCTACTACAGAAATAATAATAATAGTAATGAATAATTTGCTTAATGTTGGCGTACTAAATGAACGTCTGATAGCTATAAAGAAGCTAATAAAGGCCCCCGATACTACGGAAACGATGCCCGATACTACGGAAAGGATGCCCGATACTACTGAGAAGATGCCCGCTACTACGGAGAGGATCCCCGATACTACGGAAAAGATGCCCGCTACTACGGAAACGATGCCCGATACTACGGAAAGGATGCCCGATACTACTGAGAAGATGCCCGCTACTACGCAGAGGATCCCCGATACTACGGAAAAGATGCCCGCTACTACGGATAGAATGTCCGATACTACGGAAACGATGCCCGCTACTACGGAGAGGATGCCCGATACTACGGAAACGATGCCCGCTACTACGGAGAGGATCCCCGATACTACGGAAAAGATGCCCGCTACTACGGAAACGATGCCCGCTACTAAGGAAAGGATGCCCCATACTACTGAAAAGATGCCCGCTACTACGGAGAGGATCCCCGATGCTACGGAAAAGATGCCCGTTACTACGGAGAGGATGCCCGATACTACGGAAAAGATGCCCGCTACTACGGAAACGATGCCCGATACTACGGAAACGATGCCCGCTACTACGGAAAGGATGCCCGATACTACTGAAAAGATGCCCGCTACTACGGAGAGGATGCCCGATACTACTGAAAAGATGTCCGCTACTACGGAGAGGATCTCCGATACTACTGAAAAGATGCCCGCTACTACGGAAAGGATGCCCGCTACTACGGAAAGGATGCCCGCTACTACGGAAAGAATGCCCGATACTACTGAAAACATGCCCGCTACTACGGAGAGGATCCCCGATACTACTGAAAAGATGCCCGCTACTACTAGGCAGGGCATTCCTCTCAACCATCGACCGCATTGCCTAACCTTTGTTTTCTCGGCTGATTATGGAACTATATGGTATAACGAATAATTTAAGCCCTTACAACATTTTCAAAAATTCATCTAAGTCACGTTACCGATGACGTCAAAAATGTTCTCTTTCCTAGACTGAAAATCATTGTAACTTCTTAAGTATACGTCTGACTTCAATATAGCCACTAGATTCGGGCTCGCCTGAAAGAAAGCTTTGCAATGATATATACAAATCACTTTTTTAACGATGTCAGTAATTTTCAATGATGACGTCATCATTTTCAAAATGGCCGTCGACCAGCGAGCTGACTCTAATTTTGCTAGGCACAATTTGGCATTATCGCAATTTGACATCATGCATGATTTTGCTTGACACTTTCTTATAACGGAGAAAAAGCTGTTCTTTCGCCATCCACAGTTTTTCGTTATTATTATTTTAATTTTACTGATTAAACCTAAAATAATTGTTTCCGAAGACCGGATCTGAAGCCGTCGGTACAAAATCGAGCTTTGCACAAAGGCCAAGGGCTTATATTATTGGCATTGCCAGGAGGCAGGAGGAAACAATTATTATATGGTTTATTACTTTAAAGCCTTTGTTTAATATCCCTGACAGGGCTTAATAACTTGCCAATCACTCATAAGATGCCTGTCTATCCAGTATGCAAGGAATACCTTGATTCTTTCTTAGGTTTGTTCTTGACATATTTCATGTTTTTGTTCATGCGGATGAAATGAGGGAGGCAAAGATAAACAAAATTATGTGAACGAATGTTGACTTGTATAGTCACGTCAAGGTGCTGATGGGTTGCTTGTATAGTCAGGTCAGATTGATGCGACAACTGTTGACTCTTGAAAATCGTCAAAAAACTGAAAAGTGTCTGCTTTGTTGAGCATGGTAGCAGCTGTGCAGAAAAGCAACACTAAGCTACTTTTGCAAGCAGTGCGAAATATGATTCTGCTTACATTTACATTGAATCACATCAACTATGCCCGCTACTGTACATACCAACATCTGCTTCTCCATTGCACTTCAATCATTGCAGGGTGAACAAGCTACAACATTCCAAGATTGGAACAAATAAGGATCTGGCGGAAATTTCAAAACAAATTCTCTGCAATTCATTGCGATTTACATACAGAGCTAAAGGGATACTATTTAACCAAGAAGCTAAAGGGCCTGCAGGTCCATACAGGGACTTCAGCAAACTTTAATGCGGTTAACACTTGGATTGCTACGTCTCACACTCATAGCAAGTTTAGAGACGCTCTGAAGCAATCCTTTTTCGCAAAGTCATCATTAATTCACAAGTACAGCATTCCAGGTGGGACAAAGCTCCTTCAGAAGCATAATGATAGCCTTGGGGAATTCTTCGAAGCTATGACACAAATCGGTTTTCTGTTGCTCCTGCAAAGTCGACTTCAACTGGTGAAGAATTAGATCAATAAAGTTCTACTGACCTCCTTGCAGCGTCGATCATAGGAGAAGGGAATATGCATCGCTTCACAAATGATCGCCTAATTAATGGCAGCGTTTAATGCTTCACGCCGATCAAGAAAACAAAGCTGAAGACAGATCTGGAAAAGCTGCAGCAATTACCGTGGTCAAGGAACACAAAACAGGCCTTTAACTATTCATTTTGGAAGGAAGGAGGAGGCAGGAAGTCTGCAAGAGGTGTTTACTCATCCCATTACAACTATTCCTCTTTCAATTGCTATCGCTACAGCTGGTTTAACTTTGTGTCAGTCAAACAAAGTAACTTTGCAACGACTCTTGCTCGAAGATTGGCAATGGATCAAAGACATGCCTCCTAAGTCTGCCGTTTGGATAGTAGACGGAGTGGTAGCAGTTCGCTCCATCAAACCAATGCCAACGTACCGAGTGCGGATGCACAGCCTTATCAAATTTGTTGCTCCTGAAGCTGGGTATAAGCTGGTGAACCTGGGCAAGAGGTCATTTAGAAGTGTATTACCAAAACATGTTGCAAGGATATTAATGCCACGAGCTCCTGTATCGAAATTAGAAGCAAATTGATTTTATAAGAATGATTTTTGAAGGAAGACACATTGGGCTTTTGCTTTTCTCGATGTTAAACGCAAATGGTTCCCATTTCGGAAGAGATCTTTGCCTCAATCTACAGGCTTTAAATGCTTTATCTGGGTGTAATTCTGAATCCTATTTCCGCAACGTAGGAAAGGTAAGGTTGCTGAAGACAGTCATCAAGAGCCCGCGATACCTTGAACTGCTTGACAGCCTTGGAGAAGAAAAAGTAGTTAGTGATAGCGATATAAAAGATTTTCAGAAGTTTGTTCAAATGGTAATGTATTCTGGTAAGGTCAAGAGAAGCCATGTGAAAACAAGACTAAAAATGTACAACAAAATGAAACTAACATTAAACTACTTCCTGATTCACATTCATAGAAGATAGCCATTCTGAGAGCGCGCAGGGAAACCTACTGCCGGTTGCGTTGCATAGAGCCATCCGTCAATACTTTCTTTCGAAAGATGTGGCTGGAAATGTTCTTCTGAAGAGTCTTCCTTTTTGCTTCGCGTGTCCCCTGCTGCCTCCTTCTTTGAAGTCAAGACGGAAAAATAAGAACAGACTTTCAGAAAGCGTTGGGGCAGATGTCGAAAGTGGCAGTGAAAATCTCCCTGCTACAAAGAAATGCAAAAGATGTACAGGGGTACCAAAATAGGCCCGTAGTGTCGACGAAATCAGTGCTAGTAACGAATACAAGGAAACAACAGACCAGGCAGACTCTGACCTAAGTAGCACTGAACTTTCTGATGAACTGGAGAGCGAATGGGAAGTTTATGGCATCAGTTCTTCAGGTTCTGGCGGTAAATGGATTTGAGGCGAATATATATGTACCTTGAAACGTTAAATTAAGTGATATATATGTACCTTGAAACGTTAAATTAAGTGATTCAGAATAACTGCCTGACAAAACATTGCCACAAAACGATCCAGAAATGCGTTTGATTAGATCAGAGCTTTTGTCTTAAAATGTACTGTTCGACGGCCATTTTGAAAGCGATGACGTCATCATTGAAAATTGCTGACATCGTTAAAATAGTGATGTGTATATATCATTTGAAAGCTTTCCTTCAAGCAAGCCCGAATCTAGCGTTTATATCGAAGTCAGACGTATACTCAAGAAGTTACAATGATTTTGGGTAAAGGAAACATCGGTAACGAGACTTTGATGAATTTTTGAAGATGTTGTAAGGGCTTAAATTATTCGTTATACCATATAATTCTATAATCAGCCGAGAAAACAAAGGTTAGGCAATGCGGTCGATGGTTGAGAGGAATGCCCTGCCTATACGGAGAGGATCCCCGATACTACTGAAAAGATGCCCGCTACTACGGAGAGGATCCCCGCTACTACGGAAAAGATGCCCGATACTACGGAAAAGATGCCCGCTACTACGGAGAGGATGCCCGATACTACTGAAAAGATGCCCGCTACTACGGAAAGGATTCCCGATACTACTGAAAAGATGCCCATTACTACGGAAAGGATCCCCGATACTACGGAAAAGATGCCCGCTACTACGGAAAGGATGCCCATTACTACGGAAAGGATGCCCATTACTACGGAAAGGATCCCCGATACTACGGAAAAGATGCCCGCTACTACGGAAAGGATGCCCATTACTACGGAAAGGATGCCCATTACTACGGAAAGGATGCCCATAACTACGGAAAGGATGCCCGATACTACGGAAAAGATGCCCGCTACTACGGAAAAGATGCCCGATACTACGGAAAAGATGCCCGATACTACGGAAAAGATGCCCGCTACTACGGAAACGATGCCCATTATTACAGAAAGGATGCCCGATGCTACGGAAAAGATGCCCGCTACCACGGTAAGGATGCCCGCTACTACGGAAAGGATGCCCATTACTACGGAAAGGATGCCCGATACTACGGAAAAGATGCCCGCTACTACGGAAAGGATGCCCGCTACTACGGAAAAGATGCCCGATACTACGGAAAAGATGCCCGATACTACGGAAACGATGCCCATTATTACAGAAAGGATGCCCGATGCTACGGAAAAGATGCCCGCTACCACGGTAAGGATGCCCGCTACTACGGAAAGGATGCCCATTACTACGGAAAGGATCCCCGATACTACGGAAAAGATGCCCGCTACTACGGAAAGGATGCCCATTACTACGGAAAGGATGCCCATTACTACGGAAAGGATGCCCATAACTACGGAAAGGATGCCCGATACTACGGAAAAGATGCCCGCTACTTGTTTGTTTGTAACCTTATTTTAATTCGATATTTTTCTAGCTTTACATATATATATGGATATATACATACAACTAATCTAAATCGAATCTACTGCATAGCAAAAGAAGAGGATATAACTAAGGAAATAAATACGTACATACATCAGCTAAATATATGAAGCAACTTGGATATGAATGGTCAAATATTACAGGATATTGATATCATTATATTTACAAACATTGCATTTGCAGCTAGGACCATCCCATCGTTTTATTATACGTTTGAATCTGTTAATCTTCAAACGACTTGACCCGGATTACACTGTGGTTTACGAGTGTATCTTGCAAGTGCGATCAGTAAAATCCCGTTTTCTCCGGACTCGAAATTCCTCTACATGCAGGTGCGAAAAAGCTATTATGTACCGAAGGAACCAATCGAATGCCTCAAAAATTTGCACACGGCCAGGGCAGACGTTGGGCAAACAAAGTCTGTCTCAAAAATTTTTATTTTTCCTGGTCCGTCTTTTATACCCAAATACAGCTGCGGGAGGGCGGAAAAATTATTTGCCAATATTTGACAGGGTATAGTTTCAAGAAGAGGAGGAATTTAAAAAATCTGAGACACACTTTGGTAGCTTAGGACCTGCACTTCCTGCTGGTTTAAGTCAGATTTTGTTACCTCAAACGCAAGGGTACATAATAGCTTTTGAAGGTGATACACTTTTTGACCAGTAAATTCGCATGGAAACAACATTTAACAAATAACATTTAACATTATTTGCCAATAATTATTATCTTGCTAGATACGCCATAATCTTGTGCATCGAATGAAATATAGTTTATTCAGATTCCTTGAGCCGTTTGGCCTTTAGGAAGGAAAAACCAATTTTCGTGTTCAAAACGTTTACCGTAACCTTAAGAATTTGGAATGAATTTTGGGTCAACCGGAGAGAAAATTGAAATGTCCCTGCAAGCATTTTGCGACAATTTTGCAAAGCAAGGAAACCTTCGAATAACTTTCGCCAACTTTGCAAAACTTGCAGGAAACTAAACAGATTTGAAACACTTGCAATATTTTCGAATTTCCAGCCTTTACTTCAGATTCTTTTAACGTCCCAAGTTCCTTTCCACGTTGCAAATGCACATGCGGAACCAATTATAACTGCAGAACGTAACGAGCAAAACTAACGACGATTGGTCATATCGAAGAGGATGACTACAATGGGAATCTCACTCTGGCAGCCAAACCCTATTTAATAGCACGACTATGGACCAAAGTGTCTATTAGCGAACCTCAATTGCCGACTTAATCTACCTACAATGCCTGCCAAAAGTCTTGGAGCACTGACATCAATTTCCACGGTCAAGATCAATCATCCCCCTCTCCCCTACAGAACAATGTTGGTTTAGTATCAAACGGGGGAAGATTTAGGGAAGCACTTTCTTTTGCGCTTTCTTTATGATATTTCTCTAATCATCAACATTGTTTTAGGGGGAAGGGGGGGGGGAAGTAGCAATTTTTTTTCATGAAAGAAATGAAAGATATCAAATGCTGCGTAAATTGCTCGCTGTTCCAAGTAATTTTGGCAGGCATTGTACCTACCTACCTACCAACCTACCTATCTACCTACCTACCTACCTACCTACCTACCTACCTACCTACCTACCTACCTACCTACCTACCTACCTACCTACCTACCTACCTTCCTGACTACCTACCTACCTACCTACCTACCTACCTACCTACCTACCTACCTACCTACCTTCCTGACTACCTACCTACCTACGTACCTACCTACCTACCTACGTACCTACCTACCTACCTACCTACCTACCTATCTACCTACCTACCTACCTACCTTCCTGACTACCTACCTACCTACGTACCTACGTACCTACCTACCTACCTACCTACCTACCTACCTACCTACCTTCCTGACTACCTACCTACCTAACTACCTACCTACCTAACTACCTACCTACCTACCTACCTACCTACCTTACTTCCGGAACATCGAGCGCCCTCTTCTCATGTACTCAATCTTCGTACATAGAAAAACCGACACAACACACACTTATCCCAATTTTACAAATCAAATCCTCAGGTGGCCCAAATACTTCCCTAGTTGCCCATAGGTTAGTAGAACAGATGCAAGAAAAAAGTAAGAAAGCGTGGCACAAGAGACCTTAACGAATAGCAAATAATTACAATCAGCATCGAATTAGTTAAACCTCAAAAGCCCATCGTGAAATTAACTTTGATCAAACTTCAATTAAATCATCATTAAGAAAATTAGGGCACCATTAGGCTTGATCAATATTCAAGAGCCTTTGAATCAAATTACTGTGTTCATGTTGTAGTGAAGTTGTGGCTAGAATAAATTTCGTTCCCTGTTCGATTTGTCCGTTAGAATTTTCAACAGTGAAAGGAAATGCTTCCATTATTTAATTTTCAGTAATTTATTCTTCTTGCAATTTCTGATAGTTTTGATATATGATATGATATGATATGATATGATATGATATGATATGATATGATATGATATGATATGATATGATATGATATGATATGATATGATATGATATGATATGAATATGATATGATATGATATGATATGATATGATATGATATGATATGATATGATATGATATGATATGATATGATATGATATGATATGATATGATATGATATGATATGATATGATATGATATGATA